CGACACATTATGCGTTTTGTATAAAATATTATTTATATCTTGTTTATAATTTTGTAAACACATTTATTATCAATGGGCCGGGCCATCAAAGACCAGGTCAGTTACGTTGCTGCTGCGCACACCATAACATTCCTCCCGGCTCCGCCGTCTTTGTCCACTCGTACCGGTTCTCATTCGCCGGTTACTATCATAAATTCGCTGACCTGGTCGCCGCTCTCTCGCTCTCTATACGTAGAGGCGATTTATATATATATATATATATATATACAGTCGTTGTTTGTTGCAGCTGAAGAAGCCACGTGTGAATGTCGTCGGTTCCTCGGAGAACCCTCTCTGCGTTTTCTCTTGGCCTCCATCTTCCTCTTCTTCGCTCTTCCTCTGTTTCTAGACCATTCTTTCATCTCCGATCGTCTTCTCGCTACGTTTCCTTAGCTCGGTCTGTCAGTTTCGGCTCCTCTGTCGGATTTTCTCCTTCGAATATGCCTCGGAAGCAGGTACGTAACTTTAAGATTCCGATTCTCCCGTGGTCTGTCCCATGTTTGGTTTGAAATCTGGGTTTGGCGATTGACAACGGTAATCGAATTGGATTGTTTGAAGTAAGTGACTTTGTTAGAACCCTGAATGGATAATTTTCAACCGAAAAGGAAAAGGAGATAGACTTTCTGTTTCGAGCTGGATTTGGTTTGGTCTATGGTTTTATGGAGATTGGGGAATTTGCACCGAAGGTGAAGATAATGTTCAAGTATGGTGAAATGATTTGATCATCTTGGACCATACTGGCTTACGGATTGAATTCATATAGCATGATCAAATAGAACCTTCCAATCTGAAAGTACGAGCAATTGGAAAAAATTCATTCTTTACGATAATGTCTCGTTGTCTCCAGGCCTTGACATGTACTTATGATGTTAGTTTTGACTATTTTTCTTGTTTGCGCAGAGAAAGGGTGCGCATAGAGAACAAAGGTGGCAGGTAAAGGCAGAGATGAAAGCTTCATCTGAAACAAGTGGACTTCCGGCATCCATTGCTGCCGAAGCAGTGATTGACCAATTTGGCGGATTGCATCTTGGTGAAAGCAGCGGCCAGTCCTGCACTTTTGCGAGTCTGAGTAAACTATTTGGTGGTAATTTGTTAGAAAATTATACGGTGGACAATTCTGCATATTGCCATGCGCAAATCAGAGCCACTTTCTATCCGAAGTTTGAGAATGAGAAGACTGATCAGGAGGTGATTTTTCATGCCCTCTCTAATACTGTCTAACGTATGTAGAATTATTGGTTGCGAATTACTATTAGTCACAATATTTTGTTAGATTTTCACTGGGCATCAATATGGCTAGTTCATCTATTTTAATTTTCATTTAGATTTGGCTTTACGTTTAGAGTATCAGAAGATATGCACTTGAGTTTCTTTTCTTCTATTCTTAATAGTAAGTTCCATCATTTTGGTTTGCCCAGATTAGAACAAGAATGATTGAGATGGTATCTAACGGCTTGGCAACTTTGGAGGTATGTAGAATAAGTGTATTCTGTATGTGTATGCTTATATAACCACTTTGTTTGATAGAAGTTCTATAAGTATTTGGAGTTCATTGTGATGCGCCTGGTGCAGGTATCTGTGAAGCATTCTGGATCTCTTTTTATGTATGCGGGTCACACCGGCGGAGCATATGCGAAGAACAGTTTTGGTAACATGTAAGGTCATTTATTTCTCACTTCAGTTTATCTGAACATCATACTTTTGTTCATTTTGAAGAGGTTTTCATATAGAATCTTAGGTAATGGAACAACCCAATTTTGTTTCATTACTTTTCCTTGTGTATGTTCATGCTTTCTCTTCTTTGTAATTTGTTGTTTGCTAAGGATTTCAAAACATCAAAGAATCTGTATTAGGGATGATTTTGGATGCTATTCGACGAAGTGAATGTGCTTTAATCGAATTTCTGCATCCTCCTTGTTCTGTGCATTTTCTTGACATCCATGGCTGTGTTTCTCCTTCTTTATTGTGGTGTCCCCAAATTGAGATGGTGGCTGAAAGGCTGTCTTTGGCACAAATTTTTACTTGCAGTTATACAGCAGTTGGTGTCTTTGTTCTTTCACGGATGTTTCGGGAGGCATGGGGAACAAAAGCTTTAGAGAAAGAAGCTGAATTTAATGACTTTCTTGAGGTAATGCCATGGAAAGAAACTTTAAAAGTTTGAGGCTTATTCACCTCTTCCAAAAATCCGATCTTAGTTAAATTATTTTCTTCTAGAAAAATCGCATGTGCATATCTATGGAATTGGTAACTGCTGTGCTTGGAGATCATGGTCAGCGCCCTCAGGATGATTATGGTAAACTTTTTCTTTTTTCTTTTTGTCATCTTTGAAAGAAATTCAAATCAGTGCATTTCATCTAGTGAACTATCTTATCTGCAAAAGTTAGATAATCAAATACTTTTATATGTTTCCTGCAGTGGTAGTGACTGCTGTTACAGAGTTGGGTAATGGAAAGCCCAAATTCTATTCAACTGCTGAAATAATTGCATTTTGCCGGAAATGGCGCTTACCAACAAATCATGTGTGGCTGTTCTCAACAAGGTAATCTAACCTCTGCACAGCTGCTATCTATTCATTGATATTCTGTCCGTTTCTGATGTTGTCTTTTACTGCCATTGAGGCTTTGTTCATACTTCAGTATAACTCTAGGAAATAAAAACTTCATCATATTTAATATAATGCCATGCAGTAAAGAAAGAGGCCTGCTGTGTCTTGAAAATTTAAGTAATGCTTAGCTAATTTTTGTTACAAAAATTTGAGATCCCTCTGGTTGATGCTTTTGATATCTGTGAACAATCTAGGCTGGGCAGCTAGAAATTCACATGTCCATGTCAGGTTGCTCACCTTATTATGGTAGGAATACACAGATTCTGGTCGATGGGTTTTTTCTGTTGTAGGGCCAAGAAGCCCCATAGATTTTTTGGGGTCCTCATGAAGCACACATAACGTCTGGATACATTTTCATATTAGGTTCTAACATTGTTAACTTGTCAACAAAGGAAATCAGTCACATCATTTTTTGCCGCATATGATGCTCTCTGTGAAGAAGGAACAGCAACTCCTGTATGTAGTGCTCTGGATGAAGTTGCAGATATATCTGTTCCAGGTAATGTTTTAATATTTGCTTCTAGTTTTAGTCTTTCTTTTAGAATTCAATTTTTCCTTTTCATGGAATTCAACTTAATGAATTTATCTAGTGAACAAAAGCTTTATGGAAATGACCAGGCTCGAAGGACCATGTCGAAGTGCAAGGTGAGATATTAGAAGGGCTCGTGGCGCGTATTGTGAGTAGTGCAAGCATCAAACATATGGAAGATGTTTTGAGAGATTATCCTCCACCACAAGCAGAAGGAGGTTGGTTTTTTATCCTTCTTATGTTTCTAATATATTGCTCATTAGTGCATACAGATCCATGTGGGTCCTGACTTCTCCTCCTTGGTTTGTCTTTAACATTTCAGCTAATCTTGATTTGGGACCAAGCCTGAGAGACGTTTGTGCTGCCAATAGATCTAACGAAAAACAGGTTAGACAAAAACTTTTAATATGGATGGGTATTTTATATGGATCTATTAATGAAGGTTTCTCATTCTGGAAGCTTTTGTTTCCTTTTTCCATCCTTGCAGCAAATAAAAGCACTCCTAGAGAGCATTGGTCCAAGTTTTTGCCCCAATTATTTGGACTGGTTTGGAGAGGAAACGACAGACTCCCATTCTAAAAATGCTGACAGATCTGTTCTAACAAAATTTCTGCAATCTCATCCCGCAGATTATTCGACAAGAAAATTACAGGTTTTATTCACTTTTTAAATTAGCATATTTTGGTAATAATGACTCTGAAATTACTGATATATGTATGTCTCTTTGGCTCCAACATTCTTTCTATTTGGAGATGTGTCTCAGTTTCCATCTTTTGTCTTTTGTGCTTTCTGAGCCACTCAATATCTGCATTTTACCAGGAAATGATTCGTTTGATGAAGGAAAAACGTTTCCCGACGGCATTCAAGTGTTATCATAATTTTCATAGGGCGAAGGACACGTCACCTGACAGCCTGTTCTATAAAATGGTTGTCCATGTTCGCAGTGATTCAGCATTTAGGCGCTACCAAAAAGAGATGAGGTTCTTCTCAAAGACTTTTCTCTTCACTTATGCCTTTCATTTTGATCAAGTTAGGAGATACTTGATTTGTATTTATCTAATGTTATAATTATTGTTTTTCAGACAGAAGCCTGGCTTATGGCCCCTGTATCGTGGTAAAGTTTCCCGTTTTCTTAGTCTTTTTGTTTTGTTCTTAAAGCTCACGAGTCATAACTAAGCCAAACATCCATAATTTTGCACTGTTTTGTTAGTATCTCCTCTGATATCTTTTTATTCTGTGATTTCCAACTTTCAAGTATGTTCAAAGTAGAGGCTTTGAGAGAAAATCAACTCTTCTTGGCCATTCCAAACTTAGGATGATTGGACATATGGAAGATGGCATATTGTTATAAGAAATTTTTTTCTTTTTGTGTCATTTTGTACTAATTGTTTTTGTTTGACTAGTGTAACCTACTGGTTCTCTTTTGCTCCCATCAGGTTTCTTCATTGACATTAATTTGTTCAAGTCAAATAAAGGGAAGGATGCTGTGACACTGAAAAGTGCTGATAATACGGTTGGCGATGCCAATGAAAATGGCGGTACACAAGGAAAGGATGGTTTAGCTGATGAGGATGCCAACTTAATGATAAAGTTAAAGTTTCTTACATATAAGGTATTTGTGGCCCACTACGTTCTTGTGAAGTTAGATGTTATTTTTTGTCGGTCCGCTGTCTTTTCTGTGTGACTTACAGGATGCGCTATCTTTTCTGTGTCATTCTGCAGCATGACTTGCAAGATGCTGAATTGTGTATTTTGTTTTGAAAGTGCTAACTTTGAACATGTTTTCAATTTTTGACAGTTGAGAACCTTCCTGATCCGTAATGGCTTATCAATTCTTTTTAGAGAGGGGCCAGCATCTTACAGGGCTTACTACCTTAGGTGAGCTTCTTCTCCAATGACCATATAGTGATACGTCAAAGGAAATAATGATGCTTTTGGATCTCCTTGACGTAGCCTTTCTCCTCTAATTGATGTGCAAAATTGGGTGATTTGGTTATTCTATCATGCTCATCGTTAATGTGTATCTGAGAGGACGATCATGATATTGGAAATCATATGTTTTAAATTATATTATCATACTAATTTGAATTCTTTTCTATGCTTTTGAGCAGGCAGATGAAAATCTGGGGTACATCAGCTGGAAAGCAGAAAGAACTCAGCAAGCTGCTTGATGAATGGTAATCAGTCACATAAACCTTATGCCTGTAGACTAGGTTTATATTTAATTATCGAATCCTCTTTCTTTGAGACACTTGTAAGCTGTAGCATACATAGTGTTTTTAGAAGAAGTTTCAGTTTTTGCCCCCCGGAATGAAGAGTTAACAGTTCAAATTTGTTCTTTGTTTTTTCCCTTGAATTTTCAGGGCTGCTTACATAAGAAGGAAACATGGGAACAAGCAGCTCCCTTCGCCAACATACTTGAGTGAAGCTGAGCCTTTCCTGGAGCAGTATGCAAAGCGAAGCCCACAGAATCAGGCATTGATAGGATCTGCTGGGAGTCTAGTGAGATCTGAAGATTTCTTGGCCATTGTTGAAGGTGGTCATGATGAAGAAGGTGATCTTGTGAAGGAAGAGGAAATCACACCAGCTACCCCAGTTACAGCAGTGAAGGAAGCTGTCCAGAAAGATGAGGGGTTAATTGTATTTTTTCCAGGTATTTTGTTAAAAAATCTTCGTTTTTTTGTATATAAGTCTTATAAGACTTCTGTCTAGCCCACATGAGTAAGTCAAGGAACTTGGTAGATTCTGCTAGCAGTTCAGATAATGTGAAGTAATCGCAAATCCAGCTTTCGGTTCTGACCATAATTAAATAGTTCTTCTATTGATTTGCAATGCGTTATGATATTATTGATGCAAACTCATTCCTTTTCTGCCTTTTGAGTGACCTCTTAATCAATTCCCCAGAGATTTTCAAGCTTAAAGCATATAGTTATCTAAACTGCTACAAATATTCAGCTGATACTTAACACATCAATCTTCAATTGTACACATTTGAACGTTTCTCAGGAATTCCTGGATGTGCTAAATCTGCACTTTGCAAGGAGTTATTGAATGCCCCAGGGGGGTTTGGAGATGACCGACCAGTGCACACTTTAATGGGTGATCTTGTCAAAGGTACTTGGACACTTGAGCTTTGTCAAGTTTTTCAACTCTTCTGTCTCAATCATGCCTCCATGTTCAACTTCCTGCATATATGCTAAACAGGAAAATATTGGCAGAAGGTTGCTGATGAACGTCGTAGAAAACCACAATCTATAATGCTGGCAGACAAAAATGCTCCAAACGAAGAAGTCTGGAGTCAGGTAATCTTTTGACTGGTAAAGCTAGAGTTTAACACATTTCAGATGCAAGTCATACTAATGGTTGTATTGCCTATATCTGGCCTTGGTGGCTATGACATTGGTATTCATGTTGGGTAACAGTGTCTTTCTGTTTGAAGTATTTGTATCAAAATTAAGTGGACGATTTGTTTCCACTTTTTCATGTTGTCTATATTCTTTCCTTTTTTTGTTAGATTGAAGAGATGTGTCGGAGAACCAGGGCTTCTGCAGTTCCAGTTGTTCCTGATTCCGAAGGTATGTATTCTTTTTTCAAAGATTTTATAAAACTTTCTCCATACACGGCGTAGAACATGCAGATAGAAGAAGTGCCACTTTCCATGTTTGATTCATATCTAAGTAATAGATTTTCTTTCTCATGATAAAATGTTCGTGTCTTAGTTGAAAATCTTTATTTACCCTTGACTTGAAGAGCAACCCAAAGCTTTTTAGTTTGGAAATTACTATCTTGGGTTGTTTTCTATATTTTTTTCTTATGATATCCACATCACCATTTTGTCTTTATTACGTTATGCCTTTTAATTAACTCATCCACATGAATGTGCAGGAACTGATTCAAATCCGTATTCTCTTGATGCATTGGCTGTTTTCATGTTTCGTGTTCTTCAACGAGTTAATCATCCGGTACCCATCTACATCGTTTACTCAGTTATCTTCAACAGTCTAGTTGAACTTCACTGCAACCCCATATCTATTATCAAGCTAACATATTTCCGTCTCATACACTGGATACTGGTAGGGGAATCTTGACAAGGCATCTCCAAATGCGGGTTATGTGCTCCTGATGTTTTATCACCTTTACGAGGGAAAGGTATTATTATCACATGCACTCCAGGTGTTCTGTTAGTTAATTTATTGTCGGACCTTGTATCTAAAGAAGTTTTCTTCGACTTTCAGAACCGCAGAGAATTTGAGAGTGAATTGATCGAACGTTTTGGATCTCTTGTTAAGATGCCACTGTTGAGATCTGACAGGTACATTTCAAATGTGCCCACGCCATGAACTGACACGGTTTATACGGTTACAAATCCAAATTCCTTCTGTGTTATTGGTTTGCTTGCTAAAGCAACTTCATTTGATGGACATAAGGGGTCCTCTGCCTGATCCTGTAAAATTGGTTCTTGAAGAAGGGATAGATCTGTTCAAGCTCCATGCTCGCAGACATGGCAGGTGGGTGGTCAAATATGCCAATTACATGTCCTGAAATATGTCAAATACATGTGCTCTCTGGGTGTGGGCAAGCTTCTTTTAGTCTCTAGTAGAAAATTGGGTTTCTGGAAAGAGACAAATAGGTTACCTTTTATTGCTTATAGATCACCCCGAGAACCTCGTGAAAAAAGTCTAGTTAATTTTTCTGGTCCTATCCAAATTGGTAGCCTCTTATATTTGGACGCTAGTATGTGCATATGTTCTTAGAATGTAGGTTAGTTTTGAGAGCTGGTACATTTTGTCAATTGAAAAAAATAATATACTTCTCTGTTGCAATTTGAAGGATCAATGTAGGATTCATTAAGAAACGGGGTCCTGGGAAAGCCCTTTTTTTATAGTAAATATGAGCTTTCAGATGCATGGTAATTTTTGTCGTTCTTATTCTATGACAGTTCTCCTTTTGAAATAATCTTTTCTGCATTGCTTTCGGTTTGTGATTGATTCTGACCTTTTTCCTTAAATTTTCCTGGTTAAGACTTGAATCAACGAAAGGAACGTACGCAGCTGAGTGGATCCAATGGGAGAAGAAACTACGGGAGACTTTATCATCAAACTCTGAATATCTCAATTCTATTCAGGTGGGATTCGTGTTTTGTAACCCATTTGTTGTTCATATGCTGTTGTTGGTTCGATGAAAAACTTCAATCATGGCCTTATCTGTGAATTGTTCATTATTGCAATTGCTTGGATATTCGGGCTTGTATTTGCTCAGCCACTATCCCGTCTCCCCTTGTACTTTTCCTTTTGATACTTATGTGTTCCTTATTTCCTGGATTTGTGGTTTCCAGGTTTCATTTCGGTCTGCTGTTGAGCAAGTCTCAGAACAGATAAGAAGCATCGCAAAGGGTGAATACAGACCACCAAGTGTCGAGAAAAGAAAACTCGGTTCAATTGTTTTCGCGGCCATTAGCCTTCCAGTTACAGAAGTCAGAAATCTCCTTGACCGGGTAAGAAGTAAACTCCAAATTTCTGTAGAACATTTGCCATTGCTTTTTACTTCTGTGTTTCAAATCAGGTTTTACTTAGACACAGCCCAGGAATCATAGGAAATCAAATGCTGAAAGTTCATAACTCTCTTGACTTATGATGCCAACCTTTTACTTTTTGCCTTTCATGGATCCAATGATTCCAATCACTTGGAATAGACATGAAGATATGTTTCCTTAGTCACCATTGCCCGTTCGTCATGCATTGGCTAAACCTTAGACATCATGTTATAGCATGCAATGAACCTTAAACATCATGATATGGAATGCAAACCACCCATATCATATAATACATATCTGGAAAGCTGCATTGAAGGGCAGGCAGGGCATATCCTCATTGAGCTTGATTATGAGTGTAAATGATTTTAATTCTCTGGTCCCTAAAATGAAAACTGCAGCTGGCTGAAACAAACCCGAAGGTAAAAGCTTTTCTCGAGGGAAAGTCAATAGAAGAAAAGCTGCAACGAGCTCATGTGACGCTTGCCCACAAGAGGAGCCATGGCGTCACAGCAGTAGCCAGCTACGGCCTGCACCTGAACCGGATGGTTCCAGTAGAACTCACTGCCATCCTTTTTAACCAAAAGATGGCAGCTTTGACAGCCCGTCCCGGTTCGGTGGACGATGAAACCATCGTCTCCAGGAACGAATGGCCTCACGTCACGTTATGGACTGCCGAAGGAGTCACTGCCAAAGAGGCCAACTCGTTGCCACAATTGTACTCTGAAGGAAAGGCCACTCTCGTTGAGATTAACCCTCCAGCGACGATCTCTGGTCCATTGGAATTCTTCTGAAGTTCCCTTCTTTCTTGTTCGCTGTTACTTTACACCAGGTTTGTTCATGGAGATAGGTATGGCATGAGTTTCTTCATATAAGCTATTTCCTTTCTCACGAGATTTTGGGGTTTAATGTATGTAAATCTGCGATTTATTTATTGGTTTGAGGAATAAACGAGTTGAGTTTGGATCGCCCTTTTGATATTTTGGTGTATAACATGCCCTGAACCTCGAATTCAGGGGTAGAGATGGGGTTTTTGAGATTTTATTTACTTAATTTGGTTTGGATCGTATCCACAGACGTGAGAACAAGTTTAAGCTATTTCTTCTTGTTTTTCTGATCTTGTTAAATAGTCTGTTGGTGAATCTGGGTTTTCATTTTTTGACATTATATGTAGAAAAAAAAAACATCATATGAATGAAGAAAGGTTACATAAATAGATGAAAAGGTTTGGACCATTGTAAAAAATACTCTTATTTTGCTATTTTAATACATATCTTTTTTCATTTGTGATTTATATGATTCGAAATATAGTATGACAACGTGTTGATCCCATTCGTTAAATTTACGATGTTTTAGTAAGATATAAAAACATAATAAATTAATGTGATCATGGGCGGACCCATGATGACACTAGTGGGGACATTGACCCCCACTTTTAAATAAAAAAATAATTATTTTTTTATAAATTATATAAAATTTTAGTTATGATCACACTAGTGAGGACATTGACCCCCACTTTTAAATCAAAAAATAATTATTTTTTTTATAAATTATATAAAATTTTAGTTATAATCTTTCAATGCCCCGTAAAGAAATTAATTTTGTTTCTCCAATTATAGTTTATGCTCTCAATTAAAAATTATTCTCGGTCCGCCGTGTGATCATCATAAATTTAACGTTATAATCAATAAAATCAAAATATAATCATACTATATTTTGGGTCATATGTTTACATGATCAGTATGGATTGAAATTGAAAAAGTATATGTTGAAGTCAAAATAGTAAAATAAAAATATTTTTGATATAATGTCCAGGTTAATACCACGTATCTTCGTTGGAAAGGCTGAAGAAAATATATGATAAATGCCAAAAAGACCCAATGCAATAATAAATTATAATAGGCCTTCTAACTGCATTTATAATTATAATGGGCCTTGTAAGTTTCAGGCCCATGGCCCTTGGTCCGTGATGTCGGATTGATCTTCGTCCGCCGCTCCTCGATGACTTCGGTGGCTAATTCTCTCCTGATCGCGATTGTTTCTCAGGAAAATTTGAGAGAGGGATTCCGGAAACGGCCCTCGAGAAAACTTGATTTTCCCGGAGATGGCTTTCGAAGCTCGACGCGTTACTTCTATGTTTATACTGTTTCTCTTTCTGGTTCTTATGGACTTGACGAAGGCGGAAGTCATAACCCTGACTCCTGAGACATTTTCCGACAAGGTAAGGATCAGTGTCGGTTTTTTTTTTTTTGCTTTTTTTGCTTTTTTTGCGTTGTTCTCATCTCGCTAACTTTAAATTTCCATTTTGTTGCTCGAAATCTGGTTGATGAAAATCTCATGTCACGTGCTACGGATTAAGCTTTGATTTAGGGCGATCTGTATCCGGGTTACGTGTTTTTAGTTGAGATCTCTGATCTATCTGGAGTTTGGAGATCCTCAGAATCTCAGTTTTGTCTGTCAGTCTGATGACCTGCTTGCTTAGATTATCTACCAATCAGTATGCGTTCAGCCATATTATCTATGTTAATTCTTTGTGGCTCTCGGATTTGATTCTGTGGAGCTCATAGGCCGTTGGTTCCTTAACAAATCAGACTTAACCATTTCTTTGATTTCATCCAAGAATTGTTCAATGCTTAACTTTATGTCTGATGAGTGTTTTTGTAGTTTCGTCTGCTTCTTCGAAGTTTCTATGTCTAGGTTTATCGGTTGCAGTTACTGTTTTAGTTTCATTTTGAGCAACTAGATGATTCCTAAACATGTTTAGTTATTCAGGTGAAGGAGAAGGACACTGCATGGTTTGTGAAATTTTGTGTTCCCTGGTGCAAGCACTGGTTAGTGTTCTTTTTGTCTCCTTGCAGGGTGATCTTGGGATCTCCTTGGAGCTTTATGCTTGTTTTCTTTTCGTTGGTGGTGATTGTGGATCTGGGTTTCAGTAAGAACTAAGAATCTAGGAAATTTGTGGGACGAGCTGGGAAATGCTACGGAGGGAGAGGATGAAATCGAGATTGGTGAAGTTGATTGTGGTACCAGCAGAGATGTTTGCACCAAAGTTGATATTCATTCATATCCAACGTTTAAGCTATTCTACATGTTTTTCTTCCATTAACTCCCTCCAAGTCCAATATGATTGTCTTCCTTTCATTCTTTCCAGCTTGCATTGCATCTCCCTTAGTGTTCTATCTTGCTTCAGGTTGGCGTTTTTATTATTCGCCCCATTTGCATCAGGATCATATTTGAGAAGAGTTCAGTTCCTTCATCAATTTGTTGCATATTTTGATGTCTCTTGTGACGTTTTAGGGTCCAAATTCGTTTGAGAGAACTACATGTTATATCAGCTAGAGATAAAACATATTCCATAGTACTGGTTAGATACTTAGTTTTAGTCATACTTTAGTAAACGGTTAGCAGCACTTTGAGATGCATATTTAGAACCGGGAAATTTCTTGTACCCATTCCACTTACCTGGACAAATCCAGCATCTAAAATAGTGAGTGTCTTCATGAGCATGAAGAATGTGATATACTCCGGTTCAAGAACACGTACAGGCAATACAACAAGGAGATAAGTAGTTGTCACTTTTTGGGCTTACTTATTATAATTACAAATGTTAGGTCTTTATGTAAATTTCTGAAAGTAAGGGATCAAAACTAAAAGTAAGAGTTGTAGGGCTTTGATGATTTTTCCATCAGCAGCCTTCATCCTCTATAAAAGGATTACTTATGTTATGAATAAAGATATCAGGTGTTTGGCTGATCATTCTTGAGGGGAGGTTGACGATCCTCGAATATCGTCGGATTTGCTGTTCTCCTTAGTAGCAGCAGGTTTTTCCGTTAGAATCCATCGCCGGGTTCTAACAAAAGTGGTATCAGAGCCTCCGATCTGGCTGCCTGTGGCTCAATGATGTTGGTCCAGACTCGTCGCTTGGAAGGTATCACCAATGATGTGGAATCGCACAGTGTCGAAACTATCCAGCTGCATGAAGCGGTGTCCATCTCAGTGACTGATCTTGCCTTAGCCATCAAAGATGCGATTACTGTTAGATATAATCTTGTTAAATGTCGGTTCAGATTTATCTTGGTTCGTGTCCGGTTAAATGTTTCGGTTTAGTGTTGAATAAGTCTAAGATTTAGTCTGCAGTTTTACATTTTAGTTGGAGTCGTGTCCAATAGAAACGGACAAAGTTGTAGTTGCGTATTTGTAGTTTGGTTGTTATTATTCACCTTTTCTATTTAAGGATGTAACAAAAAAAAAAAGTATACAGCAAGGTTTTTTAGAATATTTCGTAAATGTCTCTCTTGATATTTGTTTCTGATTTTGGTTTGAAAATCAAAACATCGTTTCGGGAGTTCGGTTTCTACATGTGGTATCAGAGCGCGGTTGCGATTCAGGGAACGACAACGGTGTTGATCGATGTATGAGGAAAACGACGGAGTGTCGTTGAAGTGCCTGCGGAGAACGGCGGAGTGTCGTTGCAGTGCATATGGGAGAACGACGGAGTGTCGTTGCAATGTTGCGGAAGAACGACGGGATGTCGTTGCAGTACATGTGAGAGAACGACGAGATATCGTTGCAATACTGCGAGAGAACGACGGAATGTCGTTGCAGTGCGTGCAAGAGAACGGCGGAGTGTCATTGCAATTCTTGTGGGAGAACGACGGGTGTCGTTGGAGAATCCAATATTTTTTTTCAGGAAAAACTTTGGAAAAAGAGATGGAGCAGGAAAAGCTCCGAAAAAAAAGATGGAGCAGGAAAAGTTCCAGAAAAAGGAGAAGGTAGACTGGAAAAAGCTCCGGAAAGAATATTTGATCCATGAAAGGTTTTCTTGTGAAAGCCAAGGAAAGGCTTCGGTAGTAAAGCCAAGGAAAGGCTTCGGTAGTAACGCCAATGAGAGATGAAAAGGCTTCCGTTCAACGCCTTGAAAGAGAGACAATCGTATCAGTAACATGAAGGTATGATATGAAGACATGAAGACAAAGTGAAGGAGGAGAGTGTTGTGCAACACGATTAAAATTGCACTTGAAGTCGATTAAGTCGGTGAAACAAGATTACAGGGGAGAATGTTAGATATAATCTTGTTAAATGTCGGTTCAGATTTATCTTGGTTCGTGTCCGGTTAAATGTTTCGGTTTAGTGTTGAATAAGTCTAAGATTTAGTCTGCAGTTTTACATTTTAGTTGGAGTCGTGTCCAATAGAAACGGACAAAGTTGTAGTTGCGTATTTGTAGTTTGGTTGTTATTATTCACCTTTTCTATTTAAGGATGTAACAAAAAAAAAAAAAGTATACAGCAAGGTTTTTTAGAATATTTCGTAAATGTCTCTCTTGATATTTGTTTCTGATTTTGGTTTGAAAATCAAAACATCGTTTCGGGAGTTCGGTTTCTACAATTACTCCTCTGCTGACGGTTTTTGTGGAAGAACTGAGTGCAGCATCGACCGCTGTAAAGATACCGAGCAGAGAGAAACTGACGGAAAAGCTGCGAGCAGCATCAATGGCTGCAAAGAAATCACCAAGGGCGGTGGTTGATACAGCTGTCTGGAACGAAGAAGCTGGAGGTTCGATGGAGGCTGCCAACGAGATACAAAAAAAAGAAACAGTGGAGGAAAATGAAAACTCAGCTGTTGGTAAAAATGATGCTACAGCATATGATGATGTTCATAGAGAAGTAGAAAAATCGACATCGGCAAAATATGATGGATCGTCTCGCTCCGGGGTCGGCTATAGAACCAAAAAAGTTATCGATCAGACACTGCAACCCTCGATGCCCTGTTGTAGCTATGTTTTCTACAACATCGCGATTCCTAGGTACTTGGAGAAGTGTGAGTTCAAATTTGCCAGGAAGTTGTTCGACGAAATGTCCAAACGAGATCGGGTTTTTTGTGGTATGAACAAAAAGGTGGTTCTGATTGCTATGTTTGATCCTGGTGGTGGGTCTTTTGATATCTCTCTTTTGGAGATATCTTCCAGTGTCTTCAAGGTTAAAGCCACTGATGAATACCCTTGGGTCGATGAGTTGTTGCACGATCATCGGAGCATGTTGACTGTGATCGGAGGGAATAAGATCAGTGCACAACAGCTGAACTCAGCAAGTGTCGATAGAAGAAGCAAAGAAAACACATACGGTGAAATTCCGGCAACGTCGGTGACATGTGACAACCCTAGACAGATCCCGGTGGAAGGGAGAGGGTCACATAGACATCGGCTGAGGTCTATTGGGTTTGAGAGCATGCATCTGCAGTTTCCATGGAAGTTATCTAAGTTGGTCGATGGCGGCACTACCAGGAATAGGCACCGTTGGCATCGGAAACAACGATTCAAGATATTGATGGGGATAACACGGAGGGGAAAGGCTGAAGTGCGCTTCGCATTAGTGGAAACAGAAAGGATCATTCTTAGGGAGAAGGGTATGGTCGAGAGTTGGAAGTTGACATTGGGTCAAATGAGTGATAAGGCTAAAAATGTAGAAATGAGTGTTAGGAAGGAAATAAAATATGCCTTGATTAGAGGGTATGAAATTTTCGGCTGCACATTCAAACTGCTCGACCAAAATCCGGAACTGGAATGGGGTTCATGGTTGGCCCTTATTTCGGGATATTTCTTGGACCGCGTTGTCACTCGTGAAGCTCCTCAACGCTTTCTGGAGATGCAATGCAAAAGTTCTAGGGGCAATGAATTCACTTTTGTCGGTATTTGTAAGGCTCACTCAACTAATGGAGGTTGGACATTAGGGGGTCAGGTTCTTGAGGTTACCATTGTTACAAGATATGACTATGATGGGTTCATGGAGAATAGTTGGGTTGACATATATGCAAAATGTGGAGGATTCAAGGATCCAAGGAGGATCTCCGATGAATTGGCTGAGAAGGATACTTGCAATGAAGTAATTGATTTTTTCCAGGAGAGGGAGCAGACAGCGATAAGACTTAACGAATTTAGCTTTTCTAGTGTGATAAAAGATTATGTGGAGTCAGGAGACATTGTTGAGGGAAGGAAACTTCATAGATATCTACTAAAACTAGGAACTGACCGTAAGGAATCAGAACGGCAGTCCCATGCTCACCTTGTGAAGATGAATGCGATAAAATTTGATTCTTTCGTTGGTGTCGGAATCATAGAAATGTATTCAAAGTGCATGGTGAAAGATGTTATTAGAGAGTTTGGATTGATGTTAAAGAAGGACATGGGTGCTTGGAATGCCATGATCTATGGGAATTCACCAAACGGAGGAGACTATGAAATGGGTTGGGTCTTCTCTGAAAGGGACAAAAAAGGGATGCCTGTTCTCTCCCTAAAATTGGGTCTCGTGTTCGATAATTACGTTGCAAACGGCCTGCTTGATGCATATGGGAAATCTGGGCTAGGAGATGCATCGACAAATTTTGAGGAGAATCCTTTTCTAGATTTGGTGGCATATACATGGATTATCATAGCTTATTACCAGTGTGTACAAGGGGAGGATGTGAGGAAGCTGCACGCAGATATGCAGGATAAAAGACTAAATTCGGATGTATTTGGATGTACCTCCCTCAATGCATGTGCAAACTTTTCAGCGGGTGAGCAAGACATTTGGGAGAACTTAGCCATGACGAGACAATGGATAAGAGAGTTTCAAGAGGAGACAGAACCAGGAGTAAGCTGGATTGAAGTCAGGGACAAAGTACATACATCCCATATTGATGACAGAAATGATTCACGAACTGAAGAGACCAAAGAGGACAAAGAATCTACTGCTGAACATGAAGTTGTCGCGGAAGCGTCGGGAGAGAAGAAAGAATGCAGCAGATCATCTAGTATGTTGGACATCAGGCCATTGGACGATAGGTTTGGCATGAAGAAGCTCGAGGAAATAGTCCGAAGCATCGAGATGGAAGGATATTTTTGGGGAGCGCATAAGCTTGTTCCTTTTGGTTACGATATCAAGGAGTTACAAATCGTGCTCCTCTTCCAAAAGACATGGATAGATGAGCTTGTAAAGCAATGGGCACACCTTCTGCAGTGGAAATCCTATGTCATGGCGGAGATGCAAGTTGTGAAGCTTCACCTTGAGGACAAGGTGAAAGTGTGGGAGGGGAGTAATGATATACTCCGGTTCAAGAACACGTACAGGCAATACAGCAAGGAGATAAGTAGTTGTCACTTTTTGGGCTTACTTATTATAATTACAAATGTTAGGTCTTTATGTAAATTTCTGAAAGTAAGGGATCAAAACTAAAAGTAAGAGTCGTAGGCTTTGATGATTTTTCCATCAGCAGCCTTCATCCTCTATAAGAGGATTACTTATGTTATGAATAAAGATATCAGGTGTTTGGCTGATCATTCTTGAGGGGAGGTTGACGATCCTCGAATATCGTCGGATTTGCTGTTCTCCTTAGTAGCAGCAGGTTTTTCCGTTAGAATCCATCGCCGGGTTCTAACAGAATGCAGATTGGTGCATCCATCTTAGGTTGGTGAACTGTAGTACTGTGTAGGCAGGCTTCTTTTGCATCTGCCTATCCTTCTAGTTTTTAGATAAAACAACACTTGATGAATTCTCTCCATGGATTGGTCGGAGACATATTATGGAAAGGACTGTGCTCGAATGTAAGCGCAAATGTATCAACTTTTTCCCGAACCAATAATGCCTTTGTAGTTTGTGCTGCTGATTATGGAAAGAAGTTTGTTTATGGTCGACTCAGGATCATATGGTAATCTTCTCTTCTCTTTTCTGGTGGGTAAATTCAGGAAAACGAGATGTTGAGTCGCTCAAGAAGTTCGTTCTGGAGGAAACGGAAAAGGCGGCTGAGAAAGCACAGCTTCAAGACAAGGAACTGTGACATTAGCCAGAGAAGTACAAATCAAACTTCTCCTGGAGATCTTTGATTTTCAGATTTACAAAAGAGAGAAACTCATGTCATGATTTCTCCTCTCAAAAACAGGTAGAGAACCGAAGGAGCTCAGATTTCCAGAACAGTTCCGATCCATCACAAGTGAACGTAGGAGTGCTTGACTACAAGGCCATAGGGAAAAAAATCAGCTTGGTGAAATTTTGATATGTTTTTTTATACATGACCTGGTGACTAAGTTTCATAATTTCTGTGATACCCAATTGTTTTTTCCCCAATTTTTAGTCTAAAATCGTCTGTAACTCACAGAGATCACTGAAACCCTCAACATTGACAAGCAGCCGCAGCAAGGACGGGTACATAAACAAAATAGCCATAGTCTAATGATTTCCTTCATAATATATTTATTTTTGAATCCAGATTTCACCCCTCACTACAGAATTGTGCTACCATGTCATGGCCTTAACTTCATACAGAGCTCATGTTCAACAAAGCATTAACAACACAGAAATGCAAGGAAAAGCAAACGCATAATCCAACGAAGATAATAATGGAAAACAAAAGCATTATAGAAACAGGTTCGTAACAGGGTCGGAGATATAAGAACAAAGAAACAAAAACTGTCATTGGAGATTCTGGGGAGAAGCTTAAGGCCGCCATCGCCGATCGAGAACCCAGTTACGAGAACGGATTTCACGCGACGCAGAGACGAAGCTGTACCACAAAAACCTCAAAAACAAAACAGCAAAATAACAATAATAAAAACCAGGAATAACAAGTAACAAGTCTTCCTCTTTCGAAACACTCTGAAAGATTCTACTTCTTTCATCTGCGGATAGAGTAGGAGTTTGGACCAACAACGTTCACTTGGCACCCTTCTTGGCAGCTGCCTTTGTCACCTTCGCACCTGTCGGGTCCTTCTTCTCTACACTCTTTATGACTCCGACAGCAACCGTCTGCCTCATGTCTCTCACCGCAAAACGCCCAAGCGGCGGATACTCCGAGAATGTCTCCACCACCATCGGCTTTGTCGGAATCATCTTCACCATACCCGCATCTCCGTTCTTCAAGAACTTGGGCTCCTTCTCCAGCTCCTTACCCGAACGTCTGTCGATCTTTGTCAAGATCTCTGCAAACTTCACGGCGATGTGGGAGGTGTGGCAGTCGAGCACCGGGGCATACCCGTTACCGATCTGACCGGGGTGGTTCATGATGATGACCTGCGATGTGAAGCTGGCAGCTTCTTTTGCCGGGTCGTCCTTTGAGTTGGATGCAACGTAACCACGCTTCAGATCCTTGACAGCAACATTCTTGACGTTGAACCCGACATTGTCACCGGGGAGAGCCTCCTGGAGAGCCTCGTGGTGCATCTCAACAGACTTAACCTCAGTTGTCAATCCAGACGGAGCAAAAGTCACAACCATACCGGGCTTGAGGACACCAGTCTCAACACGGCCCACTGGGACAGTACCAATACCACCGATCTTGTAGACATCCTGAAGAGGCAGACGGAGGGGCTTGTCCGAGGGCCTCTTGGGCTCATTGATCTGGTCAAGAGCCTCAAGAAGGGTGGGACCCTTGTACCAATCAAGGTTGGTGGACCTCTCAATCATGTTGTCGCCCTCAAAACCAGAGATGGGGACAAAGGGGATCTTGTCAGGGTTGTAACCAACCTTCTTCAGGTAGGAAGACACTTCCTTCACGATTTCATCGTACCTGGCCTTGGAGTACTTGGGGGTGGTGGCATCCATCTGTGGAACGACACATACAAAGAAATCAGAATGATCCAGATTTTAACGAGCTAATCCAGTGATTCCATAATATGATTCCAGAATAGGGCAGACGCAACACAATACCTTGTTGCAGCAGCAGATCATCTGCTTGACACCAAGGGTGAAAGCAAGCAATGCATGCTCACGGGTCTGACCATCCTTGGAGATACCGGCCTCAAAACCACCAGTGGTGGAGTCAATGATGAGGACAGCACAATCAGCCTGAGAGGTACCCGTGATCATGTTCTTGATGAAGTCACGGTGTCCGGGAGCATCGATGACAGTGCAGTAGTACTTGGTTGTCTCAAACTTCCACAGAGCAATGTCAATGGTGATACCACGCTCACGCTCAGCCTTGAGCTTGTCCAACACCCAGGCATACTTGAATGACCTCTTGTTCATCTCAGCAGCCTCCTTCTCGAACCTCTCGATCACACGCTTGTCAATACCTCCCAACTTGTAGATCAAGTGACCGGTGGTGGTCGACTTTCCAGAGTCGACATGACCAATGACCACTATGTTGATGTGAACCTTTTCCTTACCCATAGCGAGCTTCTAAAATAAATCTGCAAGACTGCAACGCAAACAACAAAACAACCGAAATGGTTAGAACAATATACCATCCATCGTTGTAACACAGAACCATTACAAGGTTCAAAAGATAACGAGTAGGAATTCCAGGCAATCTAGATTACATGAAGTGAATATTTAACAGAACATCATAGAAGGAACAGCAATAAACCACTCTTTGACCAACAAAATCATTGAAAGGGCAAAATCATCAACACAACTGAGACGATAGATCATATATCATCATACGAGCAAATCAGAACATGAATACATTACAACTTATCATGCCTAATAACTGCCTTAGCTTCAGGTAAAGCAAGATTACAGACGCATAACGACTATCAGTGAACAAGGATACCTCTAACTAAAGCCCATCTAAAACTTCAGATTTTTAATAAGTATGGGTTAAGTGAGCCAATCGTAACATTACTCTTGTAGCTGGTGTTCTAAAAAACTTATGACTGCAGCAAAAGCATTTCGATCTTGGTAGAGAATCAAAAGAACAAAAAACAACTCATCCCAGAGATCAAATTTCGGAAAAAGAAACTCCGACAAATCATTTAAAGAATATCAATACTGTGCAAAACAAAATAAGCAGAACCGAGTCGAAAAGATGTAACTCAACTAGATTGTACAAACAAAGAACAAACACTTGAGGCAAAATCATATTATTGCAAAAAGCGGCTAATGGAGACGAACCGATTTCTACCACATAATTGTGGTGCTCTATCCTCTTGAGCTAAGCGGGCTAATCTTAAGAAACCAATCATCTCCAAGGTTAATAACTCAATCCAATAATCTCCTCAATCGCAACAGAATCGATGGGAAGACTGGATCTGAGATAACCAGAAAACAACAATAATCCAAAAATCGAGCACGGTGCTATATTCATAAAACCCAGAAATCGTTAAAGAAAGAAATAACTTGAAACCCTTCAAGGCTTCAAATATATTAAAAACCTCGACTCGCTCCAGAGTCGTTTGCCAAAAATATTCAAATGAGCAAAACATTAAGACCGATTTAACAAAAAATCGAATTTCGTACAATATTCCATATAACTATCATATGCATCCCATAGTACAAGCTAAATTTTCAAAACAAATCAACCAAGACAGCAATATTAGAACCATCACATTAGATCCAACAACAACCGCAGGGACAAACAGAATAGAAAAATGACTTCCAACGAAATATAAAGTATCGATTTTCTCACGGTAGTCATCATTGCTCCAGTAAATGAGAGGATCGAATGGGATCAATTAATCACAATCCAGAAAATCGATAGATACAACCAGAAAATCGCCTTCGTTTACATAGAAAACGACAGATCAGATCGAACGGCACACGATCCACAACAAAGAATAAGCAAACACATCATCAAGGTCATGAACAGAATCGCTTACCTTATACAAGAGCTAGGAAATCTGCGAAGTTGGGCAGCTGAGCCTGAGCAGAAGAAGGCAAGCTAGGTTAAAAAAGGAGGAATTTATAGTGGTGAAAGGTGCGTCCGTACGCTAGGGCTAGGGTTTGACTTAATATCTCGTTATTGTTATTTTTTTTTAACTGAGCTCTCTTTTTCCAAGTCGGTTGTTTTCCCTCTAATCTATATGCGCCGATATTTTCTCGGTAAATTGTTATATTTGAATTGAATAACATATATTTATATTTAAATTGAAATTTCTAAACAATTGAATAGATATCAATTTCTAAAATAAAAAGGAATATTTAAACCTTTTTTTTTAAGAATCGAAATATTTTTTTAAACAATGAATATTTTTTTTAAAAATCGAATGGAACAAATCCTGAAATGTTCCTTAATAGCCGTCTTATGCCGTTTTATTTATTTTTAATATTTTTAATGTTTTTAAGAATAAAAATAGCGAACTTGACTTACGTTTTCTAGAAAAATAAATGGGTTGACTTATACGTCCTGGCTGTTAATAAATCTATTTTTTGTGTTTCAAAATTTGGTGTTTACTTTTTAATCTCTTCAAATACTAGATCAAATTTCGGATTTTTTAAATGATTTGTTTTGAATACAATTTTTATAAAAAAAAAACTGTTGAACATTTTTATATTTTATCTAATATTATATTGATATTCAGTTAATTTACTTTTTTTAAAAAAAATATTTAGATCAAATTTAATTTAAACACAATTATTCAAGTTAGTTCAAATCGTATATATTTAATTAATTAAATTGCCACTATTAAAGATAGCTAGATTTCTAAAAATATACTTTTTTTTCAAATGCTATTTTTATTATGTGCTAGTTTAATACGAATTAAAACTGTAATCACATTAATTAGGGACAAAATTTTGGCGGAAAAAATCTTTTGTTTTTACTTAACGGGCCGGGCCACATGAATAGTTAGTAACTTAATATATGAATTATGACGACTATACGCATTTTCGGTAATATATGTATAATATTTGTATATGGATTTATGCTGGTAGGCATTTTGGTAAATCACGTGCAAAGAGGTAAGAGAGGATATTCCAAATTCCAATGGCGACATCATGTCATAAACTAAGAATATCCACCGTTAGATCAAGAACTATAGATCCAACGGCTCAAAGAGAAACCCTAACAATGGAACCCTAGCTCCTCATCCCCCCTTTATATCGCTGCTTTCCCCCTCCTTGTATCTTCCTCTTGCTCTCTCGCTCCGCATAAGCTCTGCTTCTCTTTCGTTGTCGCGAGAGAGATCTGTTTGGGCTCAGATTCTTTGTTTTGGTAAGTGGAAGATCCTTGAGTTTTCTTTTCGTTTTCCATTTCGTTTTTTTTGTTTCGTTGCTTGTTCAATCTGTTTCCGTCGATAGTGATTTGTTGTCGGAACATCATCTTTTCTTAAATTGATGTCTCTGTTAAGTTGGTTTTTGATCTTTCGTTTACCGCTCGAGATCGAAATCTTTGCTGTGT